TAGTTCATAACATTTTTAGTCTGCCCCACAGTTCCGCAGGAAGAGCAAATTTTTTGATTCAGCATTAATAAAAACGAAATTAATAAACAAATAATGTTTTGAAACTTTAAATAAAGTAATGTTAATAATATACATTTGTAATGCACTTTGGATGCAATATAAAAAAGGGCAATATTATAAAAACTGAATTGGCATATTTTCTTAATCAAGAGGAATAAACTCCACTCAATTTCCCGATGTAATAAAAATTGGTCAATTTTTTACCGTTTGGTCCAGTTTTTGGTCCGAAAAGTAAATTTGAAATGGCAACCGTAGTTAGAAAGACCAGGTGAAGAAAGAATTGGCTTGACGAGGCATTTCAAATTAGCGTCAGTTGGCACAGAAGAGAAACGACTGGCGTGCTTTGTTGACTTTGTAGAACTCGGTCAAAATCGCTCAGGCGATAACAGCGCCAAATAAGAAGAAGAATGCCGGTTTGATATCAAACGGCTCGGAGAGGTCCTTCCCAATTAAGACGGAGCTGGTGGTATTGCTCAACATCATTTTACACAGCTGTATAAGTTTCGCGGGGATACCAAATTCAGACATTGCGGCATAAAGACAACTTCTTTTCGTGCTGTCGAAAGCGGATTTGAATTCGACAAATATGTAGATGGTGAAGGTCTATCCTATTCTCGCGCTTATTTTCCAAGAGTATTGTGAGTTCCTGGTCTGTGGATTTGCCTGGTCTAAAACCACACTGATAAGTAGCTGTCAGTTGGTTGACGGTGGGCTACAGTCTTTAGACTTGTTTTCACTATGTCAAATTCAATGGTATTTGTCGCCAAATTGGTGAAAACACATTGCCATATGGGATTAAAAAGCGGTATATCTATTGGTTTCGATCAGGATAGGTCTTTAGCCGTGTACATGCGCTGCTAAATTAGCTATCATTTTGTTTATAAACCAATATATCACCAATATATGTAAAGGAATGGATAAAGGAGATATAATTACCTGTGTCAAAATATGCCGACAAATTATGGGGTCAAAATAAATATGACATAGTTAAGACCAGACTTTACCCACCATACGCTCGGAAAGACCTTGTAACCTATGCTTAGAAGGCTGATTGGCGAGGTTGCCTTTATTGTCGATTTGGCAAAGCACACTTAAATTTCAGTCATCGGGCATGCGTTCATCTGTAAAAGTGTTGATACATGCACCTTATCAACGCCTCGCCGTCGTACTTGAATAGGTCAGCTGCTGGCAGGCCATCAGCTTTGTTGTTTTTCAGTCGCGTAATTGCTATTCGTACCTCGTGGTAATCAGGAGGTGGGAGATCGACTCCATCATCATCGACTGCGGCTCGGGTTCGTCTTATCAACTACCCTAAGTGCTGCTGCCATTCAATAGGGTGGAAAAGTGTGGTTGTTCTTGTGGCCTCTAGCTTCTTATAGCGGCAAATACGTCTCAGTTTAGTTTAATAATAATAATAATAGAATGGCACGTTCACATATGTTGTCTAGTGTCTGGTCGAGGATCTCCTATTTGTGGCGTACGCCTTGATATTGTCACACAATTGTTTTTTTTATGAGAAGCTGTTTTTCATGGCAGAAATACACTCGGAGGTTTCCATTGCCTGCCGAGGGCGGCCCCTAAGAAAAAACCTTTTTTCTATATGTTTTTGCGACGTTGCTTTGAATAGGGCATGAACCCAGGTCCAGAGGAGTGGAAGCGTGCACTGCTTACCACTATACCGTAGCGACCGTCGTTCAGTTCAGTTTACATTTTATAAATTATTAATACAAAAATTAAGTTAAATTAAGTATTTGTCAATGTTATTGTGGCCTATTAACATTGACAAATAAATAACATTGACAAATACATAGTTTAGGAAGAGCCTGCCTGAAACTATACAAAAAAGCAAATAAGCAAATGAATGTATATAATTGACAACAAAAACTACGCTGTCGAGTTTAAATAGCGGCACTAGATAGTAGTTGGTTGAATAAGGAAAATGAATTAGCAACAAGGGATGTACATAGCTCAGTTCGCAGGTTCGATCCCTGCTGAGGTCTAAAAAAAAAATTCGCAGGTTCGATNTAGGCTGAGGGGGAGATGGGGTCATCTCCGAAATACCGCTTAGACTTTGTTGCTCTTTCAATTTTTCCTAATAAACAATCGTGGTACAAAGCTCAATAAAAATATTATAAATTAAATTAAATTCAAAAAAGGTTTGTTCTTTTTAAAATAACAAAACTTAAAAACTAAAAAAAAATTAAATTAAATAAAAAAAAAACCTTTTTAATATAACACGCTTTTATAAATGGACTAAACATTAGAAAATAATATTTCTCAGTCCCATAGAATTTGTTTTGAAATCTTTTGATTTTTAAATTTTAGCATTATAACAATTTGTGAAATTGAAAACGAAAAACGTGGAGCCCATGCAATACAAAGCATTAGATTTACATAATTGACAATAGCTTAACTACATAATTTAGACCTAAAATTTCTACAGAGAAAGTACAAATTTGAGATTTATTTTAAGCGGTCGTTATTCATATACCCACATAACTACATATATTAGTCTTCATACCAATACAGGTCCATTAGATGTGCCTAAGATATTTACAGTACTTAAAAAAAATGGAAAAAATATAGTACACTTTAAATATATATAGTATTTTATTTAACAGCCGCTGTGGTGTAGTGGTAAGCAGTGCGCGCTTCCACTCCACAATGCCTGGGTTCAAACCCTGGTCAAAGCAACATCGCAAAAATATAGAAAAAAGGTTTTTTCTTAACAGCGGTCGTCCCTCGGCAGGCAATGGCAAACCTCCGAGTGTATTTCTGCCATGAAAAACAGCTTCTCATAAAAATACAATCGCCGTTCGGAGTCGGCGTAAAACTGTAGGTCCCTCCGCTTTGTGTGACAACATCAAGGCGCACGCCACAAATCGGAGGAGAAGCTCGGCCAAACACTAACATATGTGTAAGCGCCAATCTATTATTATTATTTAACAGAAAAAGTAAAAACGATTTTAAGTGATGCAAAAAGTTCTTCCTGTGAATGTCGAAGTTGTTGGAATAGAGTAAACATGAAATAATTTTAAGTAAATTTGTTAATTATTTTTCAGTGTTTTTAAAATTATTTTACCTTTTTTGATTATAAACTCACTATGACCTTTTACTTTATATAATATCTCGTTTAATTTTGTTATTTCAGTATAAAGATCATCCATTTTAATACAAATTTTTTCGTGGAAATTACTGAAATATATTTGTTTTTACAATTGAAGAAATATAGTAATTTTGCGTACTATATTTGTTTCCAACAGTATATAGTACGCCGACCGAAAAAATAGTATAATACTATATATTATAGTACGGTTGGGAACCCTACATGTGCCCCACGGTTTTCATTTTCAATCTCATAAGTTGTCTATAATGACTTCTGCTATAATTTCTAAATCAAAAGTTATCAAAAGCAATTCTATGGGGCTGAGAAATATTATTTTCTAATGTTTAGTCCATTTATAAAAGTGGTATATTAAAACGCTTTTTATTACCTCCCTTTTATTAGCTCGGGATATAACTATGTAATATTGATGCGCCTAAAAGATGCACCGATTTCTGTTTTCAAGTTACATACCTGATGACAGTACGAATGGAAATTATAATAGCGAGGTTTTAGTTTTTTGAACTATAATATTACTTTATTTTATTTATTTTCTACTTTTTAGCCTTGTCTGTATGGAATTTTGCAATAGATATTAAAATAATTCAACTTGCAATCAAAATGTTTGTGCTTACGTTTAGTATAAACATACATATGTACAGGGTTGTTGCGAATATTCGCATTCGCATTCGCATTCGCAGCCGCGGAATTTCCGAATTAATTTTAACATTTGCATTCGCAATGATCAATGGGGATCTTTTGGGAATGCGAATATTGAAGGCGCTGAAAATAATAGTTATTTTTATTACGAGTTAAACTTGGCCAAATATATATTTTTTATTCCGAAATAAAAGTCCTTTCCGGATAATAACCAAACCGCTTATCAGAATTAAACAAGTTTGGTATCAAATGAAAGAGCACTTGGATAGCTTTAAACCTGAAATATCTAAGCGAGCAAAGCCACCTATTGAAAAATATTTCAATAAAAAATGTTATTTAATTACCATAGAACAAACCTTGAGTGAGGTATATGAATTTCTAAATAGAGGCAAGGTTACCGCCTCGGTCGTTATTTCTGTTTAAAAGCTATTTCAGTCCTCTTTCATATGATACCAAAATTGTTTAATTTTGATAAGCTGTTTGGTTATTATCCGGAAAGGACTTTAATTTCGGAATAAAAAATATGGGGAAATTATCAAATAAACTCGAAAATAAACTCGAAAACTTACTTGTGGAGCGCGTATTTGTAACTCGAAGTGACTTCGAGTAGCTTGGGGAACAAACCTAATGAATGGATGCTTTATTGATAAAAACATAACAAGGTAAAACCATTGAGAGGCAGTCTGACGTTTGCCAACAATATAATTTTAAAATCAAAACTCAAACTCTCACACACATTGTCATTTTCCATCTCAAACAGCAACAATTGTGAACAATTTAATTTTTTTTATTTTCAATTTTATATGATTTCAAAATGTTGGCAAACGTCAGAAAAAATCATGGCCGACGAATTGAGAGAATGAATTTACCTTGTAATGTTTCTATCATTGAATTTTGAAAATTTTAATTCATGAAAAAGTGTGTCAAATTTCACTTGAGTTTAAAATTTTAGCTATGTGCTTAGCTTAAAGTATCAAGTTATTTGAGTAAACCTATCAGTTTTTCGAATTCACTAAATTTTCAAAATTCTTAAATTATGTACTTAATTTTCAATTTTAACTTTTTTGTTGTATTTTCGAATTTGTATTATTTTACACAGTTGAAGGTCACAGCAAGTTTGAATATTATCACAGGTTTAAAAAACAACGAAAATTCCAAAGTTTTGAATTTTATGAAATTATTAAATTTCTTAAGATTTCTTATTTTTAGGATAATTTCCCAAAATTTCAAAAACTATCGAAATCCGGGAGATTCTAGAAATTTTGGTAAAATGCGAATATTTTGAAATGTACAAAATTATTGAGATATTAAAAAATTCTATATTTTCCAAAATTTTGGGAATTTTATTTATTCTAAAATCCATCCTAAAATGTAAAAATGTGAAACATCTCAAATTGCCGAAAAATTCTTATGTTCATGGTACTTGTGTATAAAAAATAGAAAATCTTAGAATTCTAAAATTTATTAAACTTTTTAAAAAATTCCAAAATTTTGTACTGATATAACAAAGTTTGAGAATTTTAAATGTTTTGAAAATTTTGAAAACTTCAGCATGCAATAATTTTTTGAATCTTCAAGAATTAAAAAAATTTTTAAATTTTCAAAAACGACGAAATATGAAAATATTTTCGCCATTCGAAAACTTTTAATATCGTTTGATCAAGTTTGTATATTCGACACTTTTACTTACAATTCTCAAAATTTTTGAAAAATAAAAAATTTCTTGAAATCTAGTAGGTATTCATCATTATATTGAATTATTGTGATTTACTAAAATTTCTCAAATTCCCAAAGTTTTGAAAGTTTAGAAAACTTTGGAATCGCACTAAAGTTATTTAAAATGGAAAACTTCAAGAAATTCAGAACTAACAAAATTCTAAACATTTCAAATTGCGGTGATTTTTAAATTTATATACATGACTTATGTTGAAAAAATTTAAATTTTTCATTAAATGTTACTAAAAGTAAAAGGTTTCAGGTACAATAAATACTATATTTTTATCTTTCTTAATAATATTGAATATGCAAAAGAAAACATTTTAGTTAAAAATAAAATCAATACTTTAGTTTATTTTTGAGTGAACTAAAATAAAAATAAAAGTATTAATTATAATAAATTAAATTCATTAACTTTGGTGATTTCAGTCTATTCTTTTTAAACATTTTTATAAAAGTAATACTTAATGTTTAAAATTTGAGATTTGGATAAGAATAAAATAAATAAATAATTCCAGCAGTTATTAAATCTTCTTAATTTTTGTATATAGTTTGGCTTCTTGATTGATAATAGAAATTAATCAAATAATTATATTTATCGTGTAATTAAAGAAAGTCAAAAACAATTGAAAATGATCAAAAATAACAAAAAAATGACGTAATTAAAACTAATGAAATAATTAAAAATGTTTAAAGTAATTAATTACACTGGTCGACGGCCAAAATTTACCAGAGACGCCGTTATGAAATTCGTATGTAAAATCACCCCCTGATTCCGAAAATCAAGGTTATTTTTAATTTTATGGTACCGTTTTTGAGATATTTGCAATTTACCGTTTTTGCAAAAAAAAAAAAAATTGGGTCCACTTTATCATATATATCTCAAGAACGAATTAAGCAATTCCAAAACGGTTTGAAGCTTTTAAAAGGTAATAAAATTTTCTATAAACTGTGCATACAACACTTTTTGCTAGGCCCTGTAGATTCAAAGATAACGAACAATCATTACCGATTTTTTCAATTTTTTTTGTAAAAATATAAAAAAAATTGTACTTTGCGGGGAAGGATCTCGAAAACCTTTTATTTTTTTGCAAAATTTTTTTTTCTCCCTAAGCTCTGTTATATTACAAAAAAAATAAGGTATCATCGAAGAAAATCGATGCAAAACTACGTAAGTTATAAGCGATCAAATAAAAATACCCAGGTTGCGCAACTTCAATGTATGTACCTATACATACATACATATATTAAAGGTATAAAGTGCAAGTGAGATATTATCCGGATAAACGAATAACACCATAACAATGATAACACTTTTTCTTTAAATAAATCAAATAGTACTTTTAATACTCGAATTGTATTATAGTAGGTAGAGTGGTTGCATCGAAAGGAAGAGTGGTTGGGTTCGAAACCTGCTGTAGGCATGTAGTTATAAACATGTATTTCCGTCAGTTATGGGTAAGTATGCAGGTAGATTTTCAAAATTATAAGACACAGAAAATTTCTAAAGCCTACATCTAAAACAGGTAGTATTTTCTTTTCCCGGCTTGTTATAAAAAGGAACCTTTCTGTCTAGGTAAGATTTGATTTTTTCAATTTTATTCTTGTTCCGAGTATAAATATGAGTTAATGCGCTTTGAAACTTCATAACATCTTCAAGGCTCGCCGGAGATAGTTCAGTTCATAAGTCTAATTTCAAAACCGTGATTTATTAAAAAAAATAAAATGAGTAAAAGGACGCGAGAATTTGAGTGTAATAAGGATCCAGATATGTTCTGTTTCATGTGTGGCCAATATACTATCATAAGGCGACGACGAGTGTTCTCAGATCATATCAAAACTTTATACTCCAAGTATTTTGGAATTGAGCCTAAAAATGCTGAAAAACCATGGACACCGAACACTTTGTGTACATCGTGTCGAGTAGAATTGATTCAGTGGGAATCAGGACAACAAACAAAATTTGATACACCAATGATATGGAGAGAACCTACTTGCCATTCAATAGAGTGTTATATTTGTCAAACAAAAGTACTTGGCGTTGGAAGATCAAGAGGAGTAACCTATGCTAGCGTACCTACAGTGACATTACCAGTACTACATTCAACGGCAGTTGCGGATCCAGTTCCATTGTCAACAGTAACATCTGAGTGCGGGGGATCAAGTTGTACTGAATTTCGCATGGAAAACGAAAGAAACGTTCTGTCACAAGCACAACTTAATGATTGGATAAGAGATTTGGAACTATCCAAGGAAAAGGCCGAGATCCACACTTCTCGTATGCAACAATTTAAATTTGTGTCATCCGATGTTAAGGTGACATATAGTAGAACTCGTCACGAACCATTTTCCAAACACTATACCAAGAAAGACAGTATATGCTACTGCAACGACATCCCTGGTTTATTCAAAGAGTTTGGTCAAACATATGATTCAAAAGAGTGGCGATTGTTCATAGACGGCAATAAACTGAGTTTGAAGGCTGTATTATTGCATATTGGTAACAAAAAGCCTTCTATCCCGATTGCACATGCAGTAAATACAAAGGAAACCTACGAGGAAATGCAAAAAATACTCAAATTTATCAAATATGAAGAGCATGATTGGAAAATATGTTCTGATCTCAAAGTCGTTGCAATGCTATGCGGTCTACAAAGTGGCTACACCAAGCACTGCTGCTTCCTCTGCAAGTGGGATAGCCGAGCTCGTAAGGACCACTACGTCAGAAAGGATTGGCCGGAAAGAGTCGAGTTTACCGTTGGTGTGGATAACATCAAATACACCCCTCTTGTCAAGAAAGAGAAAATCATACTTCCACCCTTACACATCAAGCTCGGTCTCATTAAAAACTTTGTTAAGGCTTTGGACAAAGAAGGCGAAGCATTCGACTATTTGAAAACAGTTTTTCCAGATATTTCTCAAGCCAAGATAAAGGAAGGTATTTTTGTTGGACCACAAATAAGAAAGTTGATCAACAATAATCAATTCAAAGGACTACTCTCATCAGTTGAGGCAGCAGCGTGGGAATCCTTTGAAAAGGTCGTTGCTTCTTTTCTCGGTAGACACAAAAGCCCTAACTACGAGCAGATAGTGAACGACCTAATCAATAATTATGCGAAAATGGGCGTAAATATGTCTTTAAAAATTCACTTTCTCCACTCACATTTGAGCTTTTTTCCGGCAAATCTTGGCGACGAAAGTGATGAACATGGCGAAAGGTTTCATCAGCAAATGAAATTAATTGAGAATCGATATCAAGGATTCTGGGACGTCGCAATGATGGGTGATTACTGCTGGTTTCTCATAAGAGAAACCGATCCTAAACTGAATAAGCATCAAAGTAGAACACATAATTATTTCGACAACATAGTAAAATCAAATTAAGATAAAGATTGTTAGAATATAGTATAAACATAAATAAATTTAAAAAAAAAGTTAAAAATATGGGTAATTTCATTCATAAATTGAACTTTTAACTCAATAGAAACAGAGCATAGCTAGATATTTCACTCTTCTTTATACCATACATACGTTTTGAGGTATACGTTGAAATTGCGCAACCTGGGTATTTTTATTTGATCGCTTATAACTTACGTAGTTTTGCATCGATTTTCTTCGATGATACCTTATTTTTTTTGTAATATAACAGAGCTTAGGGAGAAAAAAAAAATCTGCAAAAAAATAAAAGGTTTTCGAGATCCTTCCCCGCAAAGTACAATTTTTTTTATATTTTTACAAAAAAAATTGAAAAAATCGGTAATGATTGTTCGTTATCTTTGAATCTACAGGGCCTAGCAAAAAGTGTTGTATGCACAGTTTATAGAAAATTTTATTACCTTTTAAAAGCTTCAAACCGTTTTGGAATTGCTTAATTCGTTCTTGAGATATATATGATAAAGTGGACCCAATTTTTTTTTTTTTTGCAAAAACGGTAAATTGCAAATATCTCAAAAACGGTACCATAGAATTAAAAATAACCTTGATTTTCGGAATCAGGGGGTGATTTTACATAAGAATTTCATAACGGCGTTTCTGGTAAAGAGAAAAAGTTGAAATTTGTGGTCCAGTGTTATTAATTAGGTGGTAATAACGGTATTTAATCATTAAACGATTATCCAAAAAAACATGCTTTAATTAATAATAATTATGAATATTAATCATTATTTAACAGGTCTGGTATAATTGAGTACTTAGTCGATTTAATGGTTTACAATATACCCAAATAAAAGTTATAATATTTTTTGTACTTTATTGTATTAAACTGTAGAAGTCAAATAAAACAGTGCATGAATAAATCGTTTTGTACTTGGTACAAGTCTGGTCATTTTCGAACTAGTTCGGTTTCTGTCAGGAAATTCTAGTTGTAAACTAGTACTTTTCCTGACTAGCTTGGGATTTCACTGTAGGGATATAGCAGCAATTAATTTCATTTAAAGAAATGGCGTGTTGTCCATTTCCGCTGTAGCGTTTGTAGTACATATTTATATCTACCTCTAGAGTCTAATAGTATGTCTTTGATATGATACCTACCGACGAGGTTGATATATAGACTAGGTTGTATAGAAACTTTGCCATAATACCTTTGCTATAAATGGCGGTCTGGACACACGGCATTGTAAGTTGATAAAAGCGTTGAAATAAAAATAAAATTAAAGAAATTTCGTAATATCCTTTCGGGCCGATGGCGAAAGTGTTGAGTAACAAAGCAATAAATACTAACGACAAGTTAGGTGTCGTGAGAACGTACATACATATGTAAATTTAGCAATGTAAACAAAAAAAAAAAAAAACAGTTTCTTCGGTTGGCTGGCTCACATTGGACGCCCCCAAACCCTCTCTACTCAATGTTTTGTCGCCCGCTGGCATATTTTGCAATCACCATGTGAAACAGTGTATTTAAAAAGGACTTCTGTTGCCATAGTTCACTTCGAAAGGATGCCAGGATTTTGTATATTTTAGTACATTGTATTATTCTTCCTGTCGCTTGTGCTTCACCTTCCGCACACTTCGCCGCATTCGGTTGTTTCCGTTAGCTTTGTTCTTTTATCTTTCGTGTCTCCTCTGCTTAGTTTGTCGGAGTTGCAATGTTTGATTTCATTTTTCACTTGGGACCGAACACGAGAAGCTTTTACATTTCAAAGCAATAACGGTTATGGAGCAGAATTTCTTGTCGGTTTTGTTGGTACAGCATGGATGTACATAAATCCTTACAAACACATGCATATATATGTAGATATGTATGTAATATATATATTTTAGTAACACTTATGTGACTTTCAAAAATAGTCTACAAACAAAATGAACCCGGCATATTGACNCGGAGCAGAACTTTCGTATGATATTGCAACTATTCTTGTCGGTTTTGTTGGTACCGCATGGATGTACATAAATCCTTACAAACACATGCATATATATGTAGATATGTATGTAATATATATATTTTAGTGACACTTATGTGACTTTCAAAAATAGTCTACAAACAAAATGAACCCGGCATATTGACAGCCAGGCTCGGCGCTAAACTGACCACGGCAAATCCTCAAAGCCACGTTTGCGTACTCGAAGCGAGTGTGAACTACATAGCAAGAAAGACGTTTAGGTAGGATTCTACTAAACATACATTCATATGCACGTATGTATATGATTTTGTTCATATTCACGGGCAGAGAATTTTAAGTCACACAAAAGCCTCTATTCAGAAGGGGAGAAGGCTACGAGATTCGAGCATGCATACATATGTAAATTAGACTGCATCACTCCCCATACAAAAAAAGTCGGTACTGTTTTTCCACTGGNGAGGATTCTACTAAACATACATTCACACTTTCAACAACACACATATGCACGTATGTATATGATTTTGTTCATATTCACGGGCAGAGAATTTTAAGTCACACAAAAGCCTCTATTCAGAAGGGGAGAAGGCTACGAGATTCGAGCATGCATACATATGTAAATTAGACTGCATCACTCCCCATACAAAAAAAGTCGGTACTGTTTTTCCACTGGAATTATAAAATCTACTATATTTTAAGACTNCGTTTAGGTAGGATTCTACTAAACATACATTCATATGCACGTATGTATATGATTTTGTTCATATTCACGGGCAGAGAATTTTAAGTCACACAAAAGCCTCTATTCAGAAGGGGAGAAGGCTACGAGATTCGAGCATGCATACATATGTAAATTAGACTGCATCACTCCCCATACAAAAAAAGTCGGTACTGTTTTTCCACTGGAATTATAAAATCTACTATATTTTAAGACTTTCACAAAAATATCTCGCTAAAATATTAAGATTTACGTGAGCTGGACCGATTTTAAAATACCTCCAAAAATTGAGTTTTTTATTAATAAAAACAGTTTGTTTAAATATCAAAAAATATACCTCAGATGACTAAACAGTTTAAACTTAAAAAATTCGCATTTGCATTTCCTTAAACCAGTCATTCAAAGTATGGCAAGATAAACAATTGCCATAACATGTTTAATTAAGATGTGTTGGTATTTGATAACGAAAAAATTGCGACGTGAATGAGTCTTTTTTGCAAAGGAATAAAAGGGTGAGNTGTGAGCTGGACCGATTTTAAAATACCTCCAAAAATTTAGTTTTTTATTAATAAAAACAGTTTGTTTAAATATTAAAAAAAAAAAATACCTCAGATGACTAAACAGTTTAAACTTAAAAAATTTGCATTTGCATTTCCTTAAACCAGTCATTCAAAGTATGAAAGAGTAAGGCAAGATAAACAATTGCCATTCCATGTTTAATTAAGATGTGTTGGTATTTGAACACGGAAAAATTGCGACGTGAATGAGTCTTTTTTGCAAAGGAATAAAAGGGTGAGCAAATACCTTTCCACTGATACCTCATGAGTCTATATCGGTAAAGTTTTGGAGCAGTTATTCAAGTTCTTCTTACACAAATCTTTGAAAAAAGTGAAAACAACAGCATCGAAAATCTCATTATTATAATTCCGTTGATAAAAAAATTTTATACTTTTATGTAGATTTTGTAAGCTTAAACTGTTTGTTTTAAACTGTGTTTAGGAAACTATTTTTATTCATAAAAAACTCTATTTTTAGAGGGATTTTCAAACCGGTCCAGCTCACGTAAATCTAAATACTTTTCCGAAATATTTTGGTCGAAGTCTTAGAATATACTAGATTTTGTAATTCCGCCGGAGAAACTGCAACTTCTTTTTGGTGATGCAGTCTAATGTATGTATATACATACATATCTACAAATAGATAAGTATATTTATCGCGAAATTCATGATAGCTTTTCGAAGTTTTAGTCGAATGTAGTAGTTGTGTATGTAGATTTCCACACACTTAATTCTTATTGAAACGATAGAAAGGTTGTTGCAGGAGGAAGGGTTATTTCAGCCTTTTTTATATTCCTAACTCGGTTGTGTGTACTCCAATGTGGTATGCTTCAATTTGACATAAGGAAGGATAGTATAGGACGACCAGACCTACATGAATTCATTGAAATTTAAATGCGGGTGAATTAAAGGGTATCGAACGAAAAGAAAGTTTCCTTTAACTCCTCTTTAGAACATTTCATATGTACTATGTATATGGTTCGGCAAGAAATGCCAAGATCATCATTTTCAAGCTGTTTGATTTGTCCTCTAACACCCAAACTATTTACGATGTTGACGTGGAAATTCAATGCGCAAGAAAACAAAAGAAAATCCTGCGCTTGTACGACGGGGAGATTAATAGTTGATTTCCACCAAGCCTTAACTGCAGTTTATGCCGTTTGAAAACCGGAGATTACAACTCTAAGGGGGTTATTCCACCTATTAAGTACAAGCAAACGAAAGGAGAAAAGAAGCAAAACCTAACAAAAAAACCTTGCCCATTATCCCATGTTGGAATTATTTGAACTTCTCTCAGCTCTTAACTGCAGTCAAGCCTTTGGTGTAAATAGGCTATGTACATATATATATGTATTAGATATTTATGTATTAGATATTTGTTAATAAACTTTTTTTCCTTTCAAGCTTGAAATGCTATCAATANTAAATAGGCTATGTATATTTGTTAATAAACTTTTTTTCCTTTCAAGCTTGAAATGCTATCAATATTTTTTAATACTTAATAATGAAATAGTTATATAAACGAACTATATGGCGCAAAAGTTGCGATTTTAGTAATAAATGCTATTGAAGAAGCTCGAAAAATTATCGAACTTTCGGCTTTCGGGATTTCGGGATTTGTCATTTAAAACTGCTTCGGGAGTGCTTGAACTCCTTTCTGTCGCGTTGGAAATCTTTCTAATTAGACTAATTTATATGTATCTGCCTAGACTTCAGTATTATTGCTGAAAACTATATACCTAACGATTTGGCTCGGAAAGACACCCTTGAGTCGGTCTGTCCCAGAAGAGAGGGTCAGAAAGGCTTTGACCATTTGTGGACTTCCCGTGAATAGTTCGGTTCCATGCATGTTCAGCGAGAGTAAGACTAATTTTAGGAGGCGTGTAAATTTCCACTCCAAAGCAAAGTCTTTCAAACCCAGGGTGGGCCAGAGAGTGTTAAGGTAGCCTTTAAATCCGCATATTCCGGACTAGTTGAGAGTTTCGACATGTCGCTGCCCGATTGGAGTAGACAGCGCGAGGTTAAAAACTCTACCGAACCCACATTGCCACAGTGCAAATGAGTTGAATCAGCTCAACACCTTTTTTAAGCTAACCACTTGTTAATCAGCCCAGAGGAGTTCACTGTAACTATTTTATAGAGGAGAACATTTTTATTAAAGGTGCGCTACACGCTCCACTGGAGCAAACAACAGTACCCAACCAATTTTTTAATTTACACTTTAAATGTGAGTATCTCTATTGATCTTAGAAGATAGTAATGAGACGTAATTATTTTTATTCGAAAAATTCAAGCATTTGGCTTTTCGAGTAACACCCCGATAAACATTGGGCGATTCGAGAACTGGACCATTCTCTAGCAAAACAGAACTTTCGTAATCTAATGCATTTTCCCTTCGTTATGAATTCGAGAGAGTGATTGTTTTATATTTCCCTTCGAGAATGAGCAGCTTTTCACTTTCTCTCTTGTTAATATGGTTTCCGTTTTTTTCCACCCAATCGCGAGTGTNTCTTTTACTTTTTAGACCCTTGTATAGCATATAATTAGCTCTACATTTAGCCGAAAAATGAAAACAATCGAACCGCATAGTCCTTAAATTTAAGCAATTAAAGAGAGTGTCGTTACGTGTTAGCAATGTTAATCCCGGGATCCCGGACTTTTTAAGGTCTCGAAAATCCTGGGATTTTTGCCAAGTAATCTCGGGATTTTCGGGATTTGTAATTTGTACTGATAGCAATAATAGAAACTCATTTTCTTGACCAGTATGGGCTATATTTCTCTTTTTATTTAATAAAATAAATGTCTAGCTCATTATTCATATAACACCGCGCGATAGTACATTTTAAATACAAATACCAATATATTCCCTAAACCCTGGGCCAAATATAGTAAAATTGCGTTTTTAGTTTTCCCTCTGACGTCAGGAACTCAAAAATGATTTAAAAAATTCAGAGAAATGTGCTTAGAGAAGAAGTATGGGTATAAAATTAATGAGGAAATCCTGTAGAATTTAAACAGATTCAAGTTTCTGGTGCAGAAGGGCTGGTAAATATTGAAAATGTCATTTTAAAATTTCCTTGAAATTTCGCAATATTTGTTTCTATTATATATTATATGTTAAGGGCTTATATAAACTCGATAACATCCTCGAATTTCGTTCTTCTAACTTTGTCAGCTTAAAAATTACCTATTCGTCCTTGTGAGTCCAAAAAGTTTAAATTTTTTAAATTCTAAAGAAATTTCCTATTGCATTTGTTACCCATATTTTTATTCTACATTGAATTTTTTTTAACAATTTTTGGAATTAATATCTTTGAAATTACAAAGTCCTTCAAAATAAATCCTGCCGTCAGATCAATAAAAAAGGTCAATAAAAAAGTAGGTTTCAAACCCATTTATTTATTATTTATTTCATGGTAGGAAAGCTTCTCAAACAATATGGAAGCAATTTTTCGATTCAAGTTGTTGAAAAGTATCTAAATCCCGGGACTAATCCCGGGCTACCGGGATTGTGACAACACCATCCCAAAAATCCCGGCTTCGGAAAATGCCGAAAAATTAACATCCCTATTACGTGACAATAAATAGAAGTTGATTTTTTAGTTGTTTTTAGAACTTGTTTCAATTTGCTTTTACAATCCCAAGTGTGAAACGTTACGTGGCGTAGCGTCACGTGACATAAATTTCCATCGTTATATTTTTGTTAATAAATATTGCATTTAAATGAATTTTTAACGCAAATAAAACATGAATTTAATATACTTCAATTTAGACTTCAGCGCCACTTCAGCGCAAATTTTGGAAATCTAGATACGATTTATTATGTTTCAACTACATACGTCAAATTCGAACCAAATCGGACCATAAATACGGTTTTTAAAAATATATCGGCCTTGGCGTAACCAGCAAGACCATTTTAGATAAAAAGTTTACTACTTACATAACCAGTATATATTTAAAAAAGCAGATAAATTCGCCCCATTTGGATGTATGAATTCAATTTTATTTTTGTCGCTGTAGACACACCCATATGTACGTTGCGTACAAGACACAAGTTTGGTATTTTTTTTTTTGAATTTGTGATTTTTTTTGGGAATTTTGGTAAAAAATGCAACCGCATTGTGGCAACACTGATTAACATATTCTTCGAAAGGGTTGTTCGTTCAAATATTTACAGCATTTCACAAAGGAAATGAGTTTGGAAGCTATACGTATACTAGCGTGAGTAGGAGGGTGGGTGGTGCAGCAATGGCAATGTGACATGGCCGGTGTTGGAATTAGGCGTGAACTTCATATTTTATTTAATATTTTAGGTTAGAAATGATTGTGTATGTATATATAAGAGTATGTATGAGGTTCTGTGGCTTTCGGTGTAAATACTTACATATACATGGTGCCCAAGAAGTACCCTGGAAAACTTGAAGAAAAGGTACTTGGGAGTGAGCTCCCCATAAGCAAAAATTGTTCAGGTAAGTATCACCGTTTTATTTCAATATTATTATTTTTTAAGTGTCATAAAATAATGTCAGGAGTAGGTAATAATGTACCTATGTACTGTGGAAGTATTTTGCAGAAAAATTTACTAAGTAGATATATGTAGCCTTGTTTGTACATGCAGTTAAAGAAAATACATGAAAAGGCGATTTTTATTAATTGAAAAATTATCAATATTTCATAAACGTGGACAGTTTTACCTGAAAAATTTTTGCTTCTCAGGGAGCTCTCTCCTCCATCTGCCTTCTCCTCAACTTTGGCTGAGTATTTCTCGGACACCCTGTATATACTCTTTATATGACTTTAACTGCTGTCAGTTATTGTGGTTTCATATGGTTATTTTGTGGATTTTTGTTTTGGCAACGGTGTTTGGTGGTTTCGCGTTTGCCTCATTTTTATTTTTTTATTTTTGTGTTTCTCTTGTGCATATGTTAAGTATATATTAGGCACAATTATTCCTGACCACAAGGCTACCCAGTGGGAAAATATAATGTATAGTAATCGAAAAATTAATCAGTAAAACAGCCGTTTTTACATTCGAAAATGCATTATTTTTCCCACGTCGATGTCTTAGGAAAATTACCAGTAATGCAGAAATGAATGCAATTTAATATGATTTTTTTTACGACTTTTTGGATACATTAGAATGCTGATTAAGAAATACATTACATTTGTTATCACCAGGGAACGGATTTTATGGAAATTGCCTTTTTTTCTGCTAAAGAGATAGAATATATTCGATTAAGAATGTCCCCGATCCCTGATTCCATATATATGTATACATTTGATGTTGCCTTTTTTACGATATTTGCCTTTTTTTGCCTATTGTACCTTTAAAAAAGTGATAATAGCGAGGAGAAAGCGCATATTCCTGATAATGTAAAAGTTCCAAACGTTCCATATTTAAATTGGGCGCCACTTGTATCAACTCACGTCGAGCGCACGTTTAATATATTCAAAGCTGTGTTATAGCCTATGCTGTTACAAAAAATCAAGTTAATAATGAAGAAAATCGATGAATAAATAAAGAAGTAATAAGCGGTCATATGAAAATGAGCAGGTAAGAATGTTACTCATACGCCATGTACACCTGAAATTTCTCGAAAACTTATCCATAGAATAAAAAATTTGCTCGGTTTTCGGAATCAGCGAGCAATTGTATATAGGAATTGGAGAGTGGCGTCCGTGCAGTGTTTTTTTTCAGTTTTTGTATTTTTTAGTGCCTTCGTTATTTTATTTTGCCTTTTGTTATAGGTTTTTAGGTCGTAAAAATTCGGTTCCTGTTTAGCACGCATGTAATGCATCACTACTTTTCCCACTGGAGTGGGTCGAAAATCCGTATTTTAGGATTTTGATTGGTAATAGCAAAAATATGGTTCAATATGCTCTATGGTATGGAATATGGACTTTTTTGTAGAGAATGGAAGTAAGCTAAAAAAAATTTTGTTTATAATGCCTTGGTTACAATGCATGGGGCTAATCGTAACAAATGGGGGCAAATTCTTAAGGATCTATCTATTTCAGATTCTTTCGTTTTAAAATACCTGTGAGTGCACTATGATCATATGTATTCATTTCTCATATAATGGATAATTAAGTGACAGTTCACTCTGTACTGTTACTTCCACTATAACCCGGTCCTTATTCTTCTCTCAGTGTAAAACCGCCCACACCAACTTGGCGCTGTGTTTCATTAAGGGTACAGCAATTTTATATACATACGAAAAAGATTGCAAATTTGTAGGCACAGAATAAATTTTGTCCAGATTTGGCCGGAAACGCCAAAGTTTGGCAACGCTACTTGCGGAAGGCCTTTTCTCCGAAGCAACAGTGATTAGTTCTCTTACACAAGGCTGGAAAGATCCTTCAACATCTCGTCTTAAATGAATGTTAGACAACGAAAAAATTGATACAGCGTATAATTAAGTAACAAAATACTACTAGCAGCGATCGAAGAAGGGGGAGGACTGTTGTCCATGTAGTTCCGTTTCAGGAACAGCGACACGGTTTTGTTAGTTAAACAGCTAGCGGAATATGCGAAAAGCATGATGTAAAGAAAGTGGATCGAACAAGTACTGCTTGCTTATTATTGTAGACGTTAATGCTTTTAATACTGCAAGTTGGGAGTAAAGACTTCAGGCTCTCTGGTAGTGTAAAGTACTAGAATATCTTTCGAGTAACATAGTTTTTTCGTTACTTTGCAGTTCCCAACCGAAAGTGATTTGGGGATGAAAACCTTAAGAATATCATGCTTGAAAATTTTGTGAAGCGGAACAACTCCACTTACTACCTAAATTTAGTTTCACGATAAGATGAAAACGTGTAGGGGTGACTGCCGCACTTTTCGGCTTTCAATACTGCGCGTAGACTATACAATAACAAAAAATGTAGGCATAGGCAGGTAACACGCCATAAATTGATACGTAGGAATGGGGCGGAAAAAATAAATCACACGAGAGGATTTTCAGTTGTGGTGTTCTTAGCTCCTACCAAGGAACTGAACCATCAATTCGGATACTATCGGCAACTGGGCAGTTTCAATGAATCGGCCAACCAAAAATGTCCAGGAGTGGTGTACCTGAGGTGCTTTTGAAGATTTTTGGCGATATAAATTAGCCATAGCGAATGTTGAACCCGGCTGCAGATCTTTTCAATCGTAAAAAAGTTGTAAATACAAAAATTATTGGAGGTGGAATGAAATGCATTGCCACACCCATTATATGCGCCTAAACTTGAGCCGTCAGTCTTTCATTTGCTTCGCTTGCTTCAATACTGCTTTCGTAGAACAACGTGACATTCAGATGAGGCGGTATATCAGTACCTTGTTCAGTTTTTCGCGAAGAATATATTACTGATTGATCTTCGATCTTTATACTTACTACACTGGGAGAAAAATTTTAAAATCAATCAGAAACGTAGTTGATTTTACTACAAACTTCAACGAAAATACTGTATTGTGGTAAATATTCAATTCAACTACGCGCATATTAAAATGACCACGTTCGCTCTGAAAAAGCATAAGAGTATGTACTCGATACTTTTGTTTCGATACCAACTACTTTTTTTACTCGAATCGTACTTGTATCCAATCGTTTTGAGCAAGTGCCATATCTTGTCAGCCATATTTTTTCTATGGAAGAAGCTTTGCACAGCGTCGTTTTTATGAAAAATAATTTCTTTACGCAATGACACCTTTCAAAGGTTGAATTTTTTGTCTAAGTAATCGTATTACCTCTAGCTTTACCAATGTACAAATAAGTATACATATCGACACCTGAGTGGAAGATTTAGGTATCTAGAAAATACCCTATCTCAGAAAACTTTTCAAGAATTTGGTTCACAAACGCCCTACCTCTATTGAGAATATGTTGAAAATATTTGATATAGGGCGTTTTTGAATTGGCAGCTGAGATAGGGCGTTTTTGCACCGAATCCTAAAGTGAAAGTTTGCTGAGATAGGGCGTTTTTCAGTCAAATTCTGAAATGGGGCGCTTTTAAAAAGTTTTCTGAGGTATGGAGTTTTCGGACTGGCTGCCGCGATAGGTCGATCTTTTACTCAGGTGTGGCAAGAGGTATGTCACATAAAACGCTTGAAAATTACTTTCGCTTTGTTGCATATAAAAGGATAAAAAATTATCGATATAAGTAAGTATCGATACACTCGGTTTACTCATATAAGTAGTATCGAAATGGCGGTTTGAGTAAACTCATTTAAGTAGGNATCGATACACTCGGTTTATTCATATAAGTAGTATCGAAATGGCGGTTTGAGTAAACTCATTTAAGTAGGTATCGATACTTTGATGGTATCGTAACGTCCCTAGAAGGGAATAATCAAAATAAAAACAAAAAAAGTATGCAATTTTGCCGAGATCAGCATTGCCAACTTTGTTATTTTCATTTCAGTGAACCTTTTGTTATTCAAATGCCATTGTATTATGAAAACACTTCTTGTTTAAAGTACATTTAAATGACACTTTAACTAAAAGGAAACTTTTGTAAAAGGAAGTTTAAGTGTTTCATTATGAAATTGGCCCTTAGATTAACCAATTCGGCAGCTTTCGACAGCATGGAGAGTAACGTTTAACACAGTTCTTAGCTCCGTTCCAATTGATCTGCGATGTTTGAGACCAAAAGGGGGTTTGGCTAGTAGGAAAGCGCTTCCAGAGATTTATTCTATTTACTCGCTTGCATGAACGAAGGCTACCGAGGATGGTTAGGTTAGGTAAGATAAGGTGGCAACCCCTTGTACCGAGGATGGTGAAATGACAAAATATACAAGCCTTTTTAATGACAAAGGCATGCATGGCTAAAGTAATAAAAATACAACCGCTGAGCTAGCTTCAACATATGTATCACGAATAATGATAGGTTAGGTTAAGTTAGAATGGCTACCACCACGCATAGTACGGAGGCACACGTAGTTAGAGGTTATGATCCGCCGAGCGGTCATTATGGCATTTAGTTCTGCTTAAAAAACGCAACAGTGGTCCTCTAAGCGGAAACTGAGGTTTAGTCCGATTTTACCAGAATCCTGCTGGTATAAGGCAGGCTGCAACAGCAATGAACTACGTGAACGTTGCCAGTTTTTTTTAGATTATCGAAGATTATTAGAAGAGACTTATGTAATTATCAACAGCAGTAAAAAGAAATAAATAAAAATCGACTTTGTAAACTGACCAGAAAGAGAATTTAAAATNTACAGTGGTCCTCTAAGCGGAATGAACTACGTGAACGTTGCCAGTTTTTTTTAGATTATCGAAGATTATTAGAAGAGACTTATGTAATTATCAACAGCAGTAAAAATAAATAAATAAAAATCGACTTTGTAAACTGACCAGAAAGAGAATTTAAAATTATACAATTTTCATTCAAACTTCAAGATTTTCAAAAAGCAATAAAAAGTGGTTTAAAAATATTTATACCATAAGATCTTCAAGAATTGCCGCAACTTCTTTTTCCGTTTTTTTTTTTTTTAAAATGTCTCGAAGTGATGTGATTAGAGGATTGGAAGATATCAACAGCATTTTCATTAAATCAATTTAGTCAAACGTATGTACATATACTGGGAAGTTATTAATTCGCACTATTTTATGATTCAATTCTCACAGCTACCTGTTTCAGTTTTTTAACGCAAATTGAAACCAATTTTTTTTTTTTAACAATAAGATTTTTGACTTAAAAGCCTTTTTACATAAAAACTCGCACTTTCCCGCAGCTAGTTTATATGTACACCCCGCGACTAAAGATAGCACATCAACATTTTTACTACTTTTGACCACTTTTCTTTTGATTTCTTTANTCCAATTTTTTTTTTAACAATAAGATTTTTGACTTAAAAGCCTTTTTACATAAAAACTCGCACTTTCCCGCAGCTAGTTTATATGTACACCCCGCGACAAAAGATAGCACATCAACATTTTTACTACTTTTGACCACTTTTCTTTTGATTTCTTTAAGGTTTAATATTTTTATATAAAAGTATAGCTCTTTATCTAACACAAACAATATAAATCTAAATTTCAGACTTTGTATAAAGATTACAAAAACCAACCTACCAAACTTTTAACCACAAACTTTTAAACCCAATTCCATGCATTATACTTTACTGTTTTTGGACCACCCTAGTATGCACTCATACAAAGCAAGAATCCGCATAAATTTCGTTGATGTGTGTGATTTTGAGTGAAGTGTGCATCTTTGTTCTACTGCAGTTTGGTTCTAATTCAGTTTATCTACTTCAGTTTTTTTCTGTTGTTCTTTTGCCTGTCGTGCAGCATTCCTTCGTAAGACAAAACCTTTCGTGAGTGTAGCGTTTGATTTGTTATGCGTGTGAAGGGACATACAGTGCTTGAAATGAGAGCTGATGGCTGCAAGCCATTTATGTAGTGAGAAAATCGCATATTCTTTATATTTTTATGACTGGTTTCTAAGGCTTCAATAGAATAAAATAGTAATAAATGATAAAATTCTAAAAAAGTTTTTTTTTATTTGACACGTTTGAGTGTCCCGAAACATCACACCCTGTAACTACTAAAACCTTATGTACCATACTTGGCATGCAATAGAGCCATATTGAATTAAATATGAGTTTCTAGTTATANAATTCCATGCATTATACTTTACTGTTTTTGGACCACCCTAGTATGCACTCATACAAAGCAAGAATCCGCATAAATTTCGTTGATGTGTGTGATTTTGAGTGAAGTGTGCATCTTTGTTCTACTGCAGTTTGGTTCTAATTCAGTTTATCTACTTCAGTTTTTTTCTGTTGGTCTTTTGCCTGTCGTGCAGCATTCGTTCGTAAGACAAAACCTTTCGTCAGTGTAGCATTTGATTTGTTATGCGTGTGAAGGGACATACAGTGCTTGAAATGAGAGCTGATGTCTT